TTGTGTTTTATAAAGAGATTTCATTAACATTTATTTATGTGATCTTTATAAAAGCTCTGCAAAGTAGACAGGACAAGAACTTTCCTTTTCTTACAGATGGAGAAATGAGTAGGGATTCACTTGCCCCTCATTACAGAGCTACTGTATGGAGAACCCAGATCTTAGGATGCATACCTCATTCCACTGGTGAAAGGGAAAAGCCACCAAATTCTTCACACCCACAGTGAAAGAAAACATACAATTTACTGAAAGAGTGTGTGCATATGTATGTAAGAGTTTGTCAGTAGGCTACTAACAGCATAAAGAGACATGGCCATTAAAAACAATACCTGAATAAATACAGAGGGACCTCCCAGAGCTCCTTATTTGGAAGGAGCATATCATCTAAAAGGATAAATGGTTTCCAAAAAGCATGCTGCAGGTAATGTAATGTGAGTAATAGGGTTTTCCAATATCAATAATAGCTTTCTGGATATGAGTACAAATGACAGAGCCATTATCACAGCAACTCCAAAGCATTTAGTGTAGTACAAGAAGAATTTCTGAGAACAGGGACAGGGGTAGATCTTGAAATCTATACTTTGGTCACTGTATTGCTCTGATTTGCAAAATTTACTAAGACCTATTATTGTTACAGGGCTTTGTTTTGAGTTCCTTTTATGGCTGTACTTGTCAGTTTCTTATTTATAACTAAATATCTGAGGCTGGATAACTTTACAAAGAATAGACATTTATTTAGCTCAGAGTTCTAGAGGGTTAAGGGCAAGTGCTAGGATCAGGTCAGCTCAGTGAGAACCTCATGGTAATGGCACCACAGTGACAAGAGTACACAAGAAATGGAGAGATCATTTCTCAAGACAGGAAGTCAGGGAAAGGGGGAAGAGCCAAGGTTGCCTGTTTCATACAAATCATCTCACGAGAACTAACTAGGGGTCCCATGGGAACTACCTAATTCCTCCCAAATGTATACCCCACAGTGACCTAAGGACCTAACAGGAAAGTCCATCTCTCAACACCACCATGCTGAGAACACATGAACCCCCCACCCCAACTCAAAATTGTATAAAACCACAGCAAAGAAGCTGCCTGTGCAGAGACTATATCCCTCACCAGGTAAGGAAGCTTTCTCTCGACCCCCGAGAGTGGAAGCAAAAAGAGCCCCGTGTGAGTGCTGAGTGCCTGTACACCTATGAAAATGTTCTGTTTATTGCTCCTTCTGAACATTTATTCAACCAGTTCATAGAGCCTGAACATGCTTTGGAACTAGGAAGAAAGGCAAATACTTGAGGGGCTCAACTATCATTGTTTGTCAATCCCTGTTTTCTTTCCACTAAACTCAGACACACCAAGCCACTGCCATCAATGAGACCTTCTGAACTGGCATGGCAAATAACACTCTTGGCCAACTTTCTCCTAGATATTTGGTGAGGTTTGCACACCTGTTGGACATCTGTGATAGACTAAAGAATGAAGAGAGAGGACATGAAAACATATAGGAAGGGGCCGGCGCTGTGGCATAGTGGGTTAAAGCCTTTGCCTGAAGCACTTACATCCCATATGGGTGCCGGTTCTAGTCCCGGTTGTTCCTCTTCCAATCCAGCTCTCTGCTATGGCCTGGGAAAGTAGTAGAAGATGGCCCAAGTCCTTGGGCCCCTGCACCCATGTTGGAGACCCGGAAGAATCTCCCGACTCCTGGCTTCAGAATGGCACAACTCTGGCCATTGTGGTCATCTGGGGAGTAAACCAGCGGATGGAAGACCTCTCTCTCTATCTCTACCTCTCTCTGTAACTCTGTCTCTCAAATAAATAAAAAATAAATCTTAAAAGAAAAAAAAAAGAAAACATACAGGGAGTTGGTGAGCTAGGATTTCCAGGTGAATACTTTTCCACACATTACTATAGTCCAGTGTCATAAAACACTTTAGTCTCTGGACACATGTACAGGGAGAATGAGAAAGGTAAAGTGATACATCACTCCAATATGGAACATCCCAAATGGTACGGGAATATAAGCTCTCTTGAACAAATGTGAATGGATCAGAACCAACTACTCTCAGGACAACGTACTATTACAATAAAAAAGACAGTGAGGGCTGGCGCTGTGGTTCACTAGGCTAATCCTCCGCCTACAGCGCCAGTACCCCGGGTTCTAGGCCCGGTTGAGGTGCCGGTCCTGTCCCCATTGCTCCTCTTCCAATCCGGCTCTCTGTTGTGGCTCAGGAAGGCAGGAGAGGATGGCCCAAGTGCTTGGGCCTTGCACCCGCATGGGAGACCAGGAGGAAGCACCTGGCTCCTGGCTTCGGATCGGCACAGAGCGTCGGTCATAGAGGCCATTTTGGGGGGTGAACCAATGGAAAGGAAGACCTTTCTCTCTGTCTCTCTCTCTCTCACTGTCTAACTCTGCCTGTCAAAAAAAAAAAAAAAAAAAAAAAGGACAGTGAAAGAAAATAAAGAAGGAAAGGAAAAAAACACAGATCACTAACTTCTTCAAAAAAAATACCTAGTTTATACTATTTTTATGTGTCCCTAGTATATTTCTAAGACCACAAAAGAAGTTGACAATGATTTACTGACTTTAGAATATGATTTATAGCTGCTTTGTATCTCAAACTGAATCTCAATTTAGTTGTGAATTGAATTGAGTGATGGTAAAAATGAAAACTTCGATTTAGCATTGGGCTAGAGCTTAAAGTCAAAACTACCACTTATTTCTCAGTTCAATCAAATAATTGGTCAGTTTGAGGATGAAGGAAACAGTTGTTTGAGTGAATTAGTCAAAAAAAATTCTGCAGAATCTCAGCGCAGGCCCAGCCACTGAGCCTGTGGCCTTGGCATTATGCTCCCTGCTACCACCCCTACTCCAGAGACTGCTCTCTCAATGGCACCAATGTATTGTGATTATCTGATGAGACCACTAGAAACCCTGAATGGCTCAGTTGTCTCCCCGCCAGTCTCCTTTCCTCATAACTAAGGCTTATTATGTGTGAAAGACAAAAAATGCATTAAGTGGAAAAGTGATAGAATTGAAAAGACAAGGAGCAACTGAATTTAAATATTTCTTTTCAATTTAGTGCTTTATTTAAGGGTTTCAACTCAGAGCTTAAAGACATTATGTTTTCATGCGGCATTTCGGAAATCATATCTGTTACAAGAGGGTTGACTCTCTTGAGCCACTTATTTGCATGCCCATTTAGTGGAGAAGATAAAAGACTACATTAGGCTTCTCTACTTTGTCCTCAGTGGGACTCTGTCTCCATTCTCTTTAGTCATTCACACTCTTCTTTCCCCCTAATCCCAAAGACCTATTGACTTCAGAAAGGGTTATTATTCCAAGTGCAATTTGGTTACATGTACAAAAGAAAAATGCCTAAATATCAGAAACCACTATCCAAGCTAATTGTCCTTTAAGTGCAAAGTAACAAAGCAGAGAATCTATGACAAAGTTAGAACTGCTTGCAACATGACAGTTTTAGCCTTGGTTCAAGATAAAATTACTTATACTTACCCATAACTGAACATTTTTTCCCATTTCACAATTTAAACTTATATAATACATTAAACAAATAAATATCCTGAATGTATATTTTATATATTATTAGGATAGAGAATATATAAAAAAGTCCAACCTCTACCTCCAAGAATTATACCCTTCCCCCATAGGCAGCAGGAGCTTTTTTAGATTTGTTTAGTACTTCCTCCATTGTCTTGATGATATTTATTTATTTTTACTTGGATAGCTCTCCATTCAGATATTGAAACATCTTTAATGATGTAAAGTTCACATTATAAAATTCTAATGAAAAATACAGTTTTTAACTGATGCAAAAATTGTGTGTTACTTGAGGTTCCCTGTGATGTTTCTATGATTTCTTTGAGACCTATTAAGAATAGGAACACCCTTGGGAGGCTGACCGGCCCTAAGGTGAAAGTGAATGTTACAGGTTGATTACACTGTCCATGTTGAAGTATTTTAAAGCAGATTGTAGTTAACACACAAACACATTAAAGAGTCAAACTTGGGAAATACAGAAACCAAAGAGCAGAAAGCTGAAAATAGATGTACCATATCACCCAGTAGTCTCATTCCTAGGAATTTACCCAAGGGAAAGGATATCAACATCTGAAAGAGTTACCTGCACCTCCATGTTCATTGCAACTCAATCCACAATAGCTAAGATATGGAATCAACCCCGATTTCCATCAGCTGATGACTGGGTAAAGAAATTATAGTATATATACACTAGGGAGTACTCCTCAGCAGTTAAAAAAAGTGAAATTCTATCTTTTGCAACAAATGGATGCAACTGAAAACCATTATACTTAGTGAAATAAGTCAGAATCCCTTTTGTCAGATTCTTTATCTCTCTCGCTTTAAAAAATTTCCTTATCCCTTTTCATTTTTAAAATGAAGGCATTTGTTGAACATGGTACATTGGGAATGAGTTACTCTAGAAAGCAAAGCCCCGGTTTTTGGTGAGCTTACATTTTAGTGGGGTAGATAGTGTATGCCACATACTTCCTTATTTTTCACTATATGCTTTCCATATCTTCTGGTCCCCCACTCCCCCTACCTTTTTCCACCTTTTTTTTTTTTTTTTGAAGTACAGTATTTTCCAGCACAACAGAAAGGCAGATAACTATCAAGGCAAGCAGGATTGAGTAAGAGTTAAGTTAATATGTGGGGAAAAAAGGAGCTACATAAATTGTATCAAGATCATATATAAGGGTATTTCATTTAAAATGTTCGTAAAAAATAAAATTAGGAAATAATCATTTTGGTGCAAAAGTGTTTTAAAACCACGTGTTGATTTTTCTTCTTTCTTTCTAAAATTTTCATTTGCTTTTGGTTGACATATAATTGTACAGTCACATAATTATACATATGTACTTGCAGAGTACAGGTTGACATTTTGATATTTATATATATATGATGTTATATATAATGTTTTATATATATATACATATATATATATATGCCTTCTAGGATACATTAGCGGGAAGCAGGAAGCAAGGTAAGAAGTGGGAGAGCTGGAACTTAAACTGGCCCTCTGATACGGGATGTGAGCATCCCAAGGAGCAGCTTAAAACACTGCACGAAGACATACTATGCAGATGTCTTTCAACAGACTTTCTTTTACTTCAGATGTGTTCCCAGTGGTGAGATGGCTGCACATATTTTAAATTTTTAAAGGCATGCTAAAATATTTTGCATCAGCAATTTTGGCAACCTCTGTGAAATGCCCATATTTCTTCAAAAATACAAATAAAGGAACCTGATATGTAAAGAAAAAAAATTGAGTGTTGTCATGTGTGTTTAAGAAATTAAGTTCATTTTTAAAATATTACCCCAGAGATAACTGAAACTCAAATACTTTTACTGTTGAATTGTACTAAACATTTTAAGAAGAAATGATGGCACAGTAACATGCTGTTTCAGAAAACAGAGATGAATCAAATGCTTTCCATCTGTTTTCAGGATACCGACCTGTGGGTAGGATCTCAGGATGGCTCCATATAGCAGGCGCCTGGGTGGGGAGGATACAACAAGGACTGGTCTCTCTCAGGGGCAATGTAGCAATGTGGTAACCCCACGACCTCCCAGATTAGGCTCAGGGCTTGGGAGGTGCTCGGGATTCAGCAGACATAAATGCCTCAGATGTCTGTGGTATCGGTGGGGGCTGCCAGGGTACTCCGGTTTACCTTTTCCCACAAGAGAAGTCCGTCTTGTTCTACAAAAGAAGGCACAGTGGGTGCTGTGTGTTTAGTTCCTTTCTTGTTGAAGTCATCATGTAAATGACAACTATAGTAATTTTAACATTTGTTTCATCTATGATATTGGCAAAACATGGTAACATGAAGATACATGGAGGCAGGTACTCATAAATTATTGACAAGAACGTAATTTGGTACATTCTCTACAGATGTCGATTTGTTAATATCTGCTAGAGTTACTATTTCATTTACACTTTGATCCAGAAACTCCTCTTTATTGTTCAGAAACTTAGGTGTATAGAATCAGAAGTAGGAAGATATTCCTTGAAGCATTGTTTATTTCTGCAATCAAAATAAACAATAAGAGGGAGATGGTAAAATACATAAAATATGGCAGTAGAGTGCAATGCTAGATGTAGTTATTTTAACAAATGAGGCAGCTTAATATGTATCAACAGATATGAAACATTCCTTGCATTGGTTGTCAGTTGCCACCATAATGTCATGTAACACATCATCCAAAATTGCCTGGCATATTACAGTAATCATGTGTTTAGCCCATGTATTGTAGGTCAACGATATAGACTGTGCGGTTCTTCTGGTTTCACCTAGGTTTCTTTGAATACATCATGGATCGGCTGCATGTTGACTAAAGCTATCAAATGAATTTCCTCCTCTTCCATCATCAAATGTGCTGTCACACCTGCATTGGTATATATCCATCCTACTTTCCATCTGGTCATACAGGGTGTACTGTCCTTGTTCCTGTCTGAGGTTCACTCCTCTATGAGGTTACCTATTAACTGACTTGACCCTGCAATTATTCCCCTCTCTTTAATCACCTATTTTTGCTCTCTGCTGTATAATTCTTTTAAAAGCATGCTGCACTGCTTTGCTTCTAAACAAAATCTCTTATTAACCTACTGACCCACTTCTCTTTCAGCAAAAATCCTCACCTCTTGAACCCATTACACCAAGCCATTGCTATTGGCTTTGCCAATATCTTCAGTGATTTCATTTTGCCCTGTAAGATGGTTCCCTCTTTGTCTTCATCTTACTCAATATTTTGGTCACATTTGGCACAGCTGATTAGTCCACTATTCCTAAAACCCTTCTTCTCTCGGGTGCCAGGACACCAGTCTCCTTGTTCTCCACCAACTTCACTAACCAGTATGTCTCATTTTCCTTGACTGGATCTTTATGTTCCTGACCCAAAAATGTTAGAACCTTCCAGGGCTCAGTCCTCAACTCTCTTTTTAACCCAAAGCTGTTAGTTCATTCATTCCCATAATTTTAAATAAACTCTATGTTAACAAATCTCAAATATAGTCATCCATTTATCTTATAAAAATATTTGCTTTCTGTGGGAAAAAAACAAATATTCCTAAATATAAATCTTTCAGTAGTACTGATTTTGCTTCTTAGAGATAGTTGGGTGAAACAACTTAAATATTTTTAAATTCTATAGATGACATTAAATTATTCTTCCAGACGGCAACATGTCACATTTCCACATGAACTATAGAAGAGTACACTTTTTCATGCAAATCTTTCAATAAATAGCACTTTCATTTCTTTTTTGTGTGTATGATAGATAGATAGTAATTGGGAGCAAACAGCGTGTCTTGTGTAATGGACTGGCTAATAGGATGAAAGGGGTGGGAATGTTATAACAAACCTCTTGCATTGTGGACCAAGTTTCCTAATGGATGAAAATAGCAGCCTGGAGATTTTTTGAAATATGATAAATGCCTACTATAGGCAACTATATTAGTTAGTATTAGATGCGATTTAAATTAACAGAGACCAATAATAATTATGGCACAACAATATCTCATGTAGAATCTGGAGGGCTAGTAAGGCTGCACTATAGTGTCAGTCTTTTCCATCCATTGTGATGATGTTTATATGTTCAATTCTCTTGTCACCTCACCTCATAGTCAAGTATGGCTGCTGGGGTTCCAGTAATTACATTTACATCAGGTGGCTGAAAAATAAACGGAAAAGGGCACTTTCCACTCTTTAAGGGTGTTGTTGGAAGCTGTGTACACCAATTTTGCATTAGCTCATTGGCAAGAACAGGAAGTACCTGATTCTGGGGAGAAATTTGAAGTTGCTGCCACAGCTGTCGTGGGGTCTCAAGTAGGAACTGTCTAAGGAAAAGTTTAACTACATAATGATGATAGGTCCCTAGGTTTTGCTTGTAACACAGAACCCAGATATAGATTGATTTCTTGAAAAAAAAAAAAATAGACATGATTGTGTTTTTCTACAAACACCCTAACTTGTGGTTCTTAGCTAAGGATGTTTGTGGCTCTCGAGCTATTTTGCAATTGGAGACGTTTTGTTTGTCTAAATAGGGGGAGAGTGGGTCCACTGGCATCAATGGATATAGTCTAAATATCCTGTAATACACTGTACAGTCCTACAACAAACATTTGTCCAGTCCAAAATGTCAGCAGTGATCAACTTTGCTCTAAACAAATCACAAAACTTTGGTCAAATTTCAGGATCTAGGTAGTGAGCTGTGTGGATTACCAATCCTGAGTTATTAAAATAATTAAATCTCATACTGCTTTGGCTATGAAACGAACCATCATTTGAGCCATGGAATCCTCATTTGATCCACTGAGACAGAAATTAAGAAATGATTCCCTTGGGGCCAGCACTGTGGTGCAGCGGGTTAAAGCTCTGGCCTGAAGCGCCGGCATCCCATATGGGCGCCAGTTCTAGTCCCGGCTGCTCCACTTCTGATCCAGCTCTCTGCTATGGCCTGGGAAAGCAGTGAAAGATAGCCCAAGTGTTTGGGCCCCTGAACTCATGTGGGAGACCTGGAGGAGGCTCCTGGCTCCTGGCTTCAGTTTGGCACAGCTCTGCCCGTTGCGGCCATCTGGGGAGTGAAGCACTGATGGAAGACCTCTTTCTCTGTCTCTACCTCTCTCTGTAACTCTGTCTTTCAAATAAATAAAATAAATCTTTAAAAAAAAAGAAAAGAAATGATTCCCCAGAAACATAGTGGCTTAAAAATAAAAAGATAGGACTTTGTATGTTGGTATGTGATAACAAGATCTTTCATTATGACATTAGCATGACTACTTCAGAATCATTTTTAACTCTAGATTAACCTTCCTTCCTTTACTGCCCTCAGCTAGGTGGAGTTTTCCCCCTTTTCAGGTGGCCTGTGATCTGGTGGAGGATTCAGATCCTTCAACATTTGAGTTCTTAGCACACTGTACAATTATCCTACATTGAAGTGTCCATATCTTCCACTAGACCACAAGCTCCCTCAAGCCAAGGACAGATTTTACCTATCTTTATATTTCTGATACTTAATGCAGGGTATACAACTTGTCAGCTGCCCAAAACTATTTATTGATTAAACTGAGCTCTTATTTATTCTTGATCCTTCGTTCATGCCAGGCCTAGTTGAACATCTTCCAGTCTGGCAGCTACAGAAAAGATTATATCACAATTTACAGTCAGCAAAATATCTCTCATTTGGCTTACTTTGTATAGAATCTAGAGAATGGGAAAACCCAGAGAACAAGACCTGAGGTGTCGATAATTCAGTTTCTACTGTACTTTCCCTGGGTAGGCTGCCTTCACATGATTATCTTGTCCTCCATCATAGCCAGTTTTTCCATATGAATGCATACATAAAAACTCATTGAGGTGGCTTCTGTTATAACCAATAGAGTATATTTCATTTAAAATTTTTCTTGGGATAAGAATGACATAACCTGGCATGAAGATGGCAGGTTGGGTACAAGGAGGTTAAAGCAAAAAGTTGTAAGAGCCAGGAAACCTTGGGGATAAAAATGTTAGCAGGCACAGGGGCGGGGCAAGTCAGTGTGCTGCCAAGTGGCATGAGCTGTCAATTCTAAATTTTGATTTGTTGGGAAGGCTGCTTGTCAGGGGAACACTGGCCTATTTACACATCCTTCAGCAGGTTCCTACTAAAGGGTTCTTCTGCCTGGAGGCTAACGTGCTTTCTCTTTACAGTGAGTACATGCCGCATACAGCAGAATTCAGCTCATTAAGCTTTTCATTTTCTTGAGAATGACTTACATAATCTAACACTGATTGGATCTTCTCATGGCACTATGAGTAGGGCCAGCTCTTTCTGACAACTCATCCACCATCATCCCCCATATCCACCCTTTCACCTGCAACCCTCCCATCTCCCACTCCCTCTCCCATCCCATTCTTCATCAAGATTCATTTTCAATTATCTTTATATACAGAAGATCAACTTGGTATATACTAAGATTTCAACAGTTTGCATCCACACAGATACACAAAGTATAAAGTGCTGTTTGAGTACTATTTTACCATTAATTTGCATAGTACCACACATTAAGGACAGAGATCCTATATGGGGAGTAAATGCACAGTGACTCCTGTTGTTGATTTAACAATTGACACTCTTATTAATGATGTCAGTCATTACCTGAGGCTCTTGTCATGAGCTGCCAAGGCTAAGGAAGCCTCTTGAGTTCACAAACTCCAACCTTATTTCAGGGTCTATTAAATGAGGCCAATGGCTAGTGAATCTGGTATTTTTACAATAGCTAGTAATACAGTGTCTTCTGTTCTGCAGCGATGAGCTCTGTTGAGACTCACTGAATGGTCACGCGTGTAGCCTAATTAATCAAGACCATTCTTTCATTCATGTGTTCACTCATGTATACGCCCATGTATACATGCATTTAATATTTATTCTCTACTAGACTAGCTTCTCATAGAGATTATAAAGATTCTAAAGGCAGAATGGACCCAAGTGATCCTAAACACTGTGATCATGTGGCTCCCACCATTCTGGGCTCTTCTTCCTCCCGTTGGGTGGACTTCCAATTAGACTGTAAACTCTTTGAAGACGGAGTGCCAATGGCATTCATCTCATATCCTAGTAGGCAATTTGTGCAAAATATTTATTCAATGTATTTGTTAAATGATTCAAGAATGGATCCAAAGTTTGGGTACAGTTTGCTTGCTCCCATCCAAGAAAGAGAAGGAC